GAGTCTCGGCCTTTGTTGCCCAGGCTAGAATGAGTGCCGTGGCGTCAGCTAGCTCACAGCAACCTCAAACTCCGGCTCAAGCAATCTCCTGCCTCAGCTCCCAAGTAGCTGGGATACAGGCATTCGCCCACCCATGCCCGGCTAATTTTTGTATATATTAGTTGGCCAATTAATTTCTTTCTTATTTAGTAGAGCGGTCTCGCTGTTGCTCAGGCTGGTTTCGAACTCCTGACCTCAAGCAATCCGCCTGCCTCGCCTCCCAGGAGAGCTAGGATTACGAGGCTTGAGCCACCGCGCCCGTGCGGGTTTTAAATATATCTAGAATTAAAATGTTGACAAAAATATAAAAAGGTGGTAGTTAAAAAATGTTCTAAAGTCTTAGCATTGTTTGGGTAGTGGTAAAAGTACTAATTTATAATAAAGTCTAAGAAACCAAGTAGGCATCTAATAGGATAAACAATAAATATTAAAAGGCTGTGTAGGCTGGGTGCAGTGGCACGCCTATATCTAGCACTCTGGGAGGCCGAGGCAGGAGGATTGCTTGAGCTCAGGAGTTCAAGACCAGCCTGAGCAAGAGTGAGACCCCGTCTCTACTAAAAATAGAAAGAATTAATTGGCCAACTAAATTATATATAGAAAAATTGGCCAGGTATGGTGGTGCATGCCTGTAGTCCCAGTTACTTGGGAGGCTGAGGCAGGAGGCTTGCTTGAGCCAGGAGTTTGAGGTTGCTGTGAGCTAGGCTGATGCTCTAGCCTGGGCAACAGAGTGAGACTCTGACTCAAAAAAAAAAACAAAAAAAAGACTGTGTAACAAAGAAGCCTATAGTGAGCCGGGCGCGGTGGCTCACGCCTGTAATCCTAGCACTCTGGGAGGCTGAGGCGGCGGATGCTCGAGGTCAGGAGTTCGAAACCAGCCTGAGCAAGAGCGAGACCCCATCTCACTATAAAAATAGAAAGAAATTAATTGGCCAACTAATATTATATAAATTAGCCGCATGGTGGCGCATGCCTGTAGTCATATCGGGAGGCTGAGCAGCAGGATTGCTTGAGCCAGGAGTTTGAGGTTGCTGTGAGCTAGGTGCACGCCACGCACTCACTCTAGCCTGGGAACAAGCGGACTCTGTCTCAAAAAAAAAAAAAAAAAAGAAGCTATAGTGGAGAGAATAGAATAATAATAAAAAACCAAAAGAATGCAAAATAGGAAACAAATAGTAAGGATGGTAATATAACCCAAATATATTGGTAGTTACTTAATGTTAATATTGTGATGATTTATAAAGATAAGATTGTCAGAGTGGATGTCAAAAAAAAAATAAACCCCCAAACCAACTATATTCTGTTATAAAAGACATATACCTTAAATATAAGGATATGGAAAAGTGGAAGTAAACTAATGGAGCAATCTATAGCATCAAAGAATGAATAAGTGAAAGCTGATGTAGTTATACAGATGTCAGGCAAATGACCTTAAAGCTTATAGAGATAAAGAGAGATCTTTATAGTAATAAAAAGGTAATTCTATCAGGAATATACTAATCTAAAACTTACATGCACCTAATAACATGCTTCAGAATAAATGAAGAATACACATTGACCCTTGAATAACACAGGTTTGAACTGTGTGGCGCCATTTATGTGCAGATTTTTTCAAACAAACACAGATTGAAAATACAGTATTTGTGGGATGTAAAACGACGAATATGGGAGGCCAGTTGTGGGACATGAGCATGTGTGGTTTTGGTATTCACAGGGGTCCTGGAACCAATCCCCTGCGTATATCAAGGACAACTTATTTGACAAAACTAAAAAGAGAAATAGATAATCCATAGTCATGGTGTGAGACTAACACATCTCTCCAATGACAAATAGAACAAGCACATAAAATAAATCAGTAAAGCTGTGAGAGTTTTGAACACATGATTAACAAATTTGACTAAGTTAACATAAATAGAATGCTGTACTGAACAAGAACAAAATTTTATTCTTTTCAAGTATACCTGGAACATGTACTAAAAGAGACTGTATGCTAGATCATCAGCAATCTTAACAAATTTCAAGGATTGAAATCATGAGAATATTGTTCTGTGACTACAGTGGTGATTAAGCTAGACATTACTTACTGAAAGGTAACTATAAATATATATTTGGAAACTAAGCAGTGCTCTCTCAAACAGACCTATTGATCAACAAATCACAAAGGAAATTTGAAATAGGAGAATATCTGTATGACTTAAGTGTAGGCAAGTATTTTTTTCCATGGGACACAAGAAAACAGAAAATCAGGGCAAAATACATATAAATTGGACTACAGTAAAATTATGACTTTCTCTTTCAAGACATTCTCTCATCAAAAGATGCATTTACAGTGAAAAAGCAAAGCAAGAATATTTACATGCACATATGACAGTATATATAAAGAACTCTTACAATTGGTAAGAAAAAGATAATCATAGAAACTGGAGCAGGCACTCCACAAAAGACAATAACCAAATAGCACTAAACATATGAAAAAGGTGGTTAACCTCATTAGTCATTATGAATATTCAAATTTAAATCACAATGAAATATTAGTACAAATCCACTAGAATGGTTAAAACCATTAATGTTGACAACACCAGTTGTTGGTGGGATGTGTAGGAGCTCTCATACACTGCTGGTGGAAATATAAGTTCATATAACTTTGGAAAAATAATTTGGTAATATCTACTAAATCTGATATATTTATATTTTGATCCAGCAATTTCACTCTCAGGTATATTCCAGTAGTAATATATATATATATATATATATATATATATATATATATACATACCAAAAAAATTTACAAGAAACTCCATAGCTGCTTATTTGGAAAAGTCAAAACTGGTATTAACCCAAATGTCCAACAACAATAAAATGGATAAATAAATTTTAACATGTTTACTTAATGGAATACTGTGCAGCAGTGAGATTAATGAACTAGTCTACATTCAACAACACAAGTGAGCCGGCATGGTGCGCATGCCTGTAGTCCAGCCACTCGGGAGGCTGAGGCAGTAGGATTGCTTGAGCGCAGGAGTTTGAGGTTGCTGTGAGCTAGGCTGTGCATCTGATGCCACGGCACTCACTCTAGCCTGGGCAACAAAGCAAGACTCTATCTCAAAAAAAAAAAAAAAACAACACAAGTGAATTTCATGAAGAACAAAAGAAGCCAGATACAAATTCTATGTGATTTCTAAGTAGAATTTATATTTATAAATTACAAAGTTCAAAAACAAAGCTAATCAATGGTGACAGAAATAGGGAGGGAGTGGTTATGTTTGGTTTGTGGGGAGTGATTAGAAGGAAGCACAGAGGGGACTTCTTGGGTGCTGGTGTTCTATTTCTTGGTCTGGGTGGTAGTCACGAACGTGTGTTCACTTTGTAAAAATTGAATTGTACATATATGATTTTATGCATTTTTCTATATTAATGTTATATTTCAATGAAAAGTTTACCTGAATAAAAAGAAGCCAGCATGTGTCAATCTTCCTCTTCCTTTGCTCAAAAGAAGTGAATGAGTATATCTTAGGTAATCACAATAATTATTAGGAAATTTGAAATCTTAAATGCTTAAAAATATTGTTAAGCAAAAGAAAATATAATAAGTACAGTAAATATTTGTATGAATGAATTTTGACATTTTATCTGAAAGTTAAAAAAATTAAAATTACAAGTAAACCTTAGCCACAGTTACTGTTCTCTATTATAAAACTAGCTCTAACTTTGTGAATTTTTTCAATATACAATTTAAGCTCTGAGCTGCATTAAAGTTTTTCAATGAAAACTTCTATTTTAAAAAATATATCATAAATATTCTATGATCACAGGCCAACTGTGCAGGAAGATGGAGGAGATGTAATCTATAAAGGCTTTGAAGATGGCATCGTACAGCTAAAACTCCAAGGTTCTTGTACCAGCTGCCCCAGTTCAATCATTACTCTAAAAAATGGAATTCAGAACATGCTGCAGTTTTATATTCCAGAGGTAGAAGGTGTAGAACAGGTATGCCAGTATTATTATATGACCATTTAGGCTAAATATTAAGATAAATATTTGAAAAGAAAAGTTCATGACCTAATTTTTTTCTTCAAGGGCTAGATCTTTGTGTTGTAATTTGTATCACACTTGATGTCTCCTTATTTTAGAACTTTAGTGTTATGAGAACCTACTATTTGCCAGGCATTTTTACAAATATTACCTCATTTAGTTTCCAATAACACACTGCTTTCAGTAAGTCATTCCCATTTTGTATATAAGGAAACTGAGACTCGGAGGGCATACTATTGCTCTGATTGTATAAGAAATTATGAAAAGGGGATTCAAAACATCATGTGATTTTTTTATAGATGAGACTTAAAAGTCTTTAGTGGAAGAGTTCTACCATATCTTATTTATCCACTTCTTGTTCTTAAACATGCAGGCAAGAAGCTCATCAAGAAATCATACTTTGTTGTATAGTAAAACAGAGTACTGAGCAGAGTTCTAGGGCTTTATAGCATGATAATCAACATTTTTTCTGCCAACATACCTAAGGAATATAACACAGTACACCTCCTCAGCAGTAGTACTGACTCTCACTGCAGTGATTCTCAACCAAGAGACTGGCTTTATAAAGAGATTATCAAGGAGGGGAAGAATGTGTGGAAATTAGAAGTTTGAAAACACTCCTTATGTAATTCTGTACCCTTAACGACTCTTTTGAGAATCACTTATCCCTGAGTAGTAGTAAAATTCATCCTTTTGGTCCAATACCTGCCATTTCCTCTTTGAAGTCCCTATCAGTCCCCCATTTGGAATGAAGCTTCACTTTGACTCCTCCAAAGCTTCTTTCTGTGTGTCTGTGTCGGCTTTATGTTTACTCGAGAGCTCCCTGAGAGACTTGAAATCATGTCTAGGCCTTTGTACTTCTCTGCAACCACTAGCCCTGTGTTTTATAAATGTCCTATGTATAATTTGTATTAAATAAGCATTTAGGAATATTATTCCAAATTTAGGAATTCCAAATTCTGCCTAAAATAATTGACACAATTCTTTGGATTGGTTGTTGCTGAGATTAGTTAGATATAAAGTATTAATTTCTGGAAAGTAATACTCATTTTTACTCAACCCAGAAGATACACTGTAAAAGAATTGTTTTTCCATTGATTGTCTCAGATCAGAACTAGATTCATGTAGATTTTTTAAAAATTTATTTTTCTTCCATTATCTTTTCTATACCTTAAAAAAAATTGAATTAGTTGAAACTTTGGTGACTTTGACAAAGGAACATTTTTATTCACTTGTCCAGGGTGCGGTAAAGAGTTGGCCTTGAGATATAAATTTGAATTGGCATTTAATTGTGGTAGGTGTGGTGAAGATAAAAAATATTCTTAGGTTTATATAACTCTTTTCCTCTCCAGAGGAGTTAGTCTTTATTATCTTAGTAATATATTAACTCGTGGAAAGATATTCACCTTTTCATTTTTTCTTCAAGTATTCATTAGTATTTTTTTAACTGAAAGTCTTTACATTTTTCTAAGATTTAAAATGATCTTTTATCTGAATAAGACCAAAGTAATTAGTTGCTAATATGGTATTTGTTTACTTTTTTTAGGGATTTATTTTTATAAAAATAAATGTTTTTGCAGTAGCAATTTGATATAGCTCGACAAAATATATTTAAGTAAATAAGATGCTTTGGAGGAAAAAAAGACAAAAATTCAATTACATTAGTCTTATACCTAGAGAATACCAGTTAATTATTTATTGTCTTCTCTGCCCAGCTGAGACTCTGCTACTGGAAGCCTCTCTTAAGACAAGGAAAGAGACCAGTGCTTTAGTTAATTAGCAAATATTTAATTTGTGTTTATGTTGTTAGGATACCAGGTTATGATTCAAACCTTGTGCTTTGGGGCTGTTGATAGATTTATTCTTACTAGATTGTCACGCATTGTTATAGATTAGAGTATATCAGGTAAACAAGTAATATTAAAATCAAGAAAATAGCAGAATCTAATTCTTAATTTTTAAATATTCTTTGTTTTTTGGTTTTAGGTTATGGATGATGAATCAGATGAAAAAGAAGCAAACTCACCTTAAAATAATCTGCATTTTCTTTGGGCACAAAAGTTGGACTTGTTGACAGTATATACCAAGCTTTTATTATTAATATGCTGAGGAACTTGAGGATTAATAAAATATACCCTTTCTTCGGAGAATGATATATAAATATTGCATGTTTGCTTTACCTCATTTGAGTTATTTATAACATCCTGAATCATCTTCTGTACACGTGGATTTTTTCCAGGGATATTTTTATTTTTGTTCCTCATTTCTCATGGTTCCTTCTTTGCATATGTGTAAAGCAGTTTAAAATACATTTTCTCCACCTAATTTATTTACTTTTAAATACAGAAGTAAATGTAATGTTTTTTAAAATATAAAATGGCTGAGCTTTTTTTGAGATGTCTGAAACTATTTTTATTGATGTTTATAGCTTGTTTTTTTTTAAAAAAACAATTCTGGTTTAAAAATAGTATCTGGCTACTAGCCCCCAACGTGGTAGTCATAATATCTCACTGAAAGAACCCCCCCTCAAAAATCATAATGCTAAAAACTCAATTGCAGAATCTAGACAAAATTTCCATGGGTTATGAGACAGCAGAATGAGAAAAACTGCCTCAGTATGCCTAGCCTTTACCTTATGAAGCAGAATCTCTGAAAAAAAGATGAGAAACTGTTTTGGTCCTTCTTCTACTGGCTTCTTTTGGCTCAGAGATCCACAGTCTGTGCCATGATGGAAATTTGGACAGTTATCTTTCCACCATAGGGGTACTGCATTTTCAAGTAGCCAAGAGAGCATATTAGCCTTCTCTTTCTCAGAGACAGCAATTCACCAAAAATACTGGGAGAAGAAAGATGGGAAAATAGCAGTGATACATTGCATCTCTGGATTCTAGACTTTAAAAGCACAGAGACTAAGATAGTAATGGAAACAGAAAGAACTCTAGCAGTTGTTAGTGCTGGGAATTGAAGTTTTTAGTTTTGTCCTTTGGTTCACTAAACCAGACAGTGGGGTTTGAGAATTTATTCCTTAGCTATCCTAAATGAATTTAGCTTAGACATTGGGAATTGGTTTGCAAGCAAGGCACCTTACCTGCCCTTTAGTTGAAGCTATAGGAAATTGAGATTGCAGAAGAGACACAATTAAGGGCAAGTCTTGGATATATGGCCACAAAATAAGTGGCTGAGGTGGGTAGATGCTTAGATTATTAAAAGAGAAATTATGGAACTGAGAGGCCAAAGTATTGGAAAGATTTTCTACATAAGGGAACATCCATGAAGAACAAGGAGGAAAGGTGGGGTAGGAACATTCTAGGCATTAAGAACAGTGTAATCAGAATTGAAAGTGTGAAATGCATTTGGGAACTGTTAAGTAAGTATAGCCTGAGTACAAAGTAGAAGTGCTTAGCTGGAAATGGTGCAGAAGTAGGCAGTGGCAGTGTGGAGAGTGCTGCAGAAATTCCTGGTTGCCTACCCAGCATACACCCCTACTTCTTGTTAAGGGAGACCCTCTCAGTAGCTCCCACCTCAGTCTGGGAGAAGAAGTTATAACTTGTCTAAACCAATCATTTTAACCCCATTTCTCTATGCCAATCATTAGTCTAGGGGTAGCCATATGACCCAACTCTGGCCGGTGAGCTGTAAGAGAAAGTCTGTTGAGAATTCTGGAAAGATTTTCTTTGCTGATTGAGAGAGAGAGAGTTAATCCCTGGAAAGAAGGCTCTTTTCCCATCCATTTCTTTTCCTTCCTGCTTGGTACACTAGTGTGAGGTGCCCAAAGCAATGACAATCAACTTACAATCATTATGAAAAGCTGGTTCACTGAGAATGGCAAGGAGGAAAGAAAGGGTCTGGATCCTTGAAGACATTGCTGACTCTTGAGCCAGCCCAGGAATCCCCCACTTCCAGGGTTTATTTGATACGAGATAAATGTTTTTCTTGTTTTGGCCACTGTAATGAGGTATTCTGTAACTTGAAGCTGATTGCCTTTTAACAGGCAAAGAGACTGGTAAATCATGGAGGACTTGGTAAATACTTTTACTGTTTTTTCATTTGTGGCAGACTGCCAAATGTCAACCTCAAAATGAAAACAAATTAATAGTATTTTTCAATTAATTAAACTATTGTTCAAAGATTAAAAGGTATAGTTTAATCAGGTTACAGTTTTTAAGTATTTATCCTTAATTTCCCCCGATATGATCCCAAAGAAAGAAAATAATCATTCACTATTAGTTGTGTTTAGCTAAGACAAAAACAAATTAAAAATCCCCCAAAATGTATAAAATATTTTCACATGAAGCATTCTTGAAAACACTTTATAAATAAGGGACACTTCAATAAGTATTTGAAACTAAGTTTATTGGTCAAGAGTAAGACAGCTAGTTGGAGGATTTTTCACCAACCAAAATAATGATTCCACCCTGTGCAGAATGACCTGGTCATATGCGAGCAAAATATGTAAAAACAGCAAACTTTTTTTGAGCATTCACTATGTGACAAACACCGTGCTAAGTACCGTACATTTCCGAAGTAATTTAATCCTATGAGTTAGGTAGCTATTATTGTGCCCATTTCCATGGACTGGAAAGTGGAGGCACAGAAGTACATTTTCCATTACCATATAACCTCAGTGGGAAAGCCAGGAACATGAACTCTGGCATTTTGGCTGCAGAGCCTGTGCACATTGCTGCTACACTATTCCACCTTAAGGGAGCTGGGCCCACATAATCCTCCTGGGTATTCCTACTTGAGGGAGGAGAGAAGCTTTTCTTGGTTTCATAGGTGTTTTCTAGTGGGGAAGAGTCTTTTCCATTTCTTTTACTTAATCCAGAATCACAGTAGGTGGAAGCAATGGTATGTACATGTGTGTCCATTTTTTTTGTGCAGGAATATGAAGCCTATTGCTCTCCAGTGGGAATCTACACTCCTCTTAGGAAACTCCAGGCTTATAACTGCCTTTTCCCACATCAGAGGTATCTGTGATAACTCCACAGGGGCAAACAGGCTATCCAGAAATGACTTTTATGTCCCCTGAAAGAAAGCCTAGAAAGTAGTACTTTTTCTGTGTCCTGACATTTTTAGTGATCTTTCAGCTCAAGGCAGCTCTGCTCATTATTGGTCTGCTCATTATTGTGGCTCTGATCACATCCTACAGGACAGAAATAGTAGGTTAAAGATAGGACCAGTTAATCTCATGGTTTTCAATTTGTTGACTTTCTTGGCAGTAGAATGAATATCTTTCTAGCAGAGCTAGAAAACTCTGCCCTAGCTTTCTGCCTACTGGAAAAATCTGCAGCCACTCTAGAGAGGAATATTAAGGAGAATACAGGTGGTCCCCAGGTACAGATGCAATACGTCTCTGAGAACGTCTTTAGGTCAGATTTATATATAACTCAGATCCCTGAGGAATAGCGCATATACAGTAGTATTAATAATAACAATACTATAATGGCTCATATGTGGTAATAATACAGTAATAGTAATCCTGTAATGTAATAAGTTATAGAAACGTATGCTTTCTTTTAATTCAAACAAACAATATAAAAACAAACTCATATGAAAAGTTTAGATAGAAAATAGGAGAAATTTAAAATAAGGATATTAAATGTTAACATTCACCTAAATGTTGCATCAATGCTAGGCTAATAGGAATGTTATGCTTATTTTGATCTTCTAACCAAATCAATAATAACCTTTCCATTTCAATAATTAATCTACTATGCTGCTTAGTAATAACTGATGCTTTCATAGGATCACTGCCTTTCACCTATTCCATTATTCTCACCTTGTCCTTTATAATTGTTCCTATAGTGAGTGACTGAAGCCTAATGCTTTCTCAATGAATGATGGCATCTGGCCTTTTTCCAAATACTTAATTATCTCTACTTTCATTTCCACTGTAATCACCTTTCTCTTTCCTGCAGGCTCACCTGGATTTTCATGGACTTTCACTTTGGAGGCATGGTCATAAGGGTAAACACACATTCACAAAATTGAATAAAAAAGTTAAGACGCAAGTGATGCTGTGTGTGACTGTATAAACAATGCAACTAGTCTCTAGTGTAAGATGCTGTGTCAATGAACCACTTACACCATGTGGGTTTGTTTACATGTGTGGGAGAAATTAGTTCCCAAATTATTAATTATTTAATTATAAATTATCCTCATGCGGAGCCTTGGGAGCCTGTTTGTAAGTATAGAACACTGTAAGTAGAATTATCTGTAATGCGGGGACTGCCTGTACTACTTCTAGATAGAGTTAGCATCCTTTGTCCTCAAGCCTAAGGTTTCCTGGGGGGCAGTTAAACCATGTTCAACTGATGTAGGGGGCAACTTTTATTTGTGTCTTCTTCATTCTTTTAGCAACATCTTCTCTTTCCTTTGAAGAACTGCTCCCCCTTCCTCTATATCAGCAGTCCCCAACCTATGGTGAGTTGTATAATTATTTCATTATATATTACAATGTAATAATAATAGAAATAAAGCACACAATAAATGTAATGCACTTGAATCATCCTGAAACAATCTCCACACCTCCCTGCCCACCCTGGTTTGTGGAAAACCTGTCTTTCATGAAAATGGTCCCTGTTGCCAAAAAGGTTGGGGGCCACTGCTTTATATGACTACATGACTCTATATGGCTCTAGTGGAGCTGTTCTACTACAATGTCCTGTCCTCTCTGAAACAGGAGTGGGGCATATGACTCACATCGGACTGATCAGAATATTTGCTTACAATGTAAAAAATGAAGATGAAGGAATGGCCTCTCTCTTTTCCTTTGGTCTGAAAATTATAAAGATGTGATTCTAGAGCTATTTAAAAGTCATTTCCAGCTGGGTGTGGTGGCACTGTAATCCTGGTGTGCCTGTAATCCTGGCACTCTGGGAGGTGGACTCCAGCAGATCATTTGAGCTCAGGACTTCGAGACTAGCATGAGCAAGAGGGAGACCCCATCTCTACTAAAAAATAATATATATATATAAATAAATTAGTTGGGACAATAGTATATATGTATGTGTATGTGTGTGTGTTGTGTGTATATATATATATATATATATATATATATATATAAAAATTAGCTGGGCATGGTGGCGCATGCCTGTAGTCCCAGCTACTTGGGAGGCTGAGGAGGGAGGATCGCTTGAGCCCAGGAGTTTGAGGTTGCTG